TCCTCAGCCTCTTCAATAGTGGCACGGTTGTGGCCAATAGCTCTGCATCTCCCTCAGTCGCTGCCGGAAACACCCAGAACCAGAATTTTTCCACAGCCGTAAACAGCCAGCCTCAGCAAAGATCACAGGCCTCTGGTAATCAGCCTCCAAACATTTTGGGACAGGCAGGATCTGCTCAGAACATGGGCCCCAGGCCTGGGGCTCCTTCCCAGGGCCTCTTTGTCCAGCCTTCCAATCGCCTGGCACCTGCCAGCAACATAGCTAGCCAGAGGCCGGTACCTTCCACAGGTATCAACTTTGACAATCCAAGTGTACAGAAGGCTCTGGACACCCTGATCCAGAGTGGCACTGCTCTCTCGCACCTGGTTAGCCAAACCACAGCACAGGTGGGGCGGCCCCAGGCACCCATGGGATCTTACCAGAGGCATTACTGAGGCTCAATCTCAACTATTCCCAGCTCCCTCGTCCCGGCCGCCTCCCATCTATTGTGTTCTAAGTAGTTATTTGGAGGATGTTCTTTGAGCCTATCCAGGTCACATCAAATGTCATAAGTTTCTACCATCTGCTCTCTCTTCTGCCCAAGGCTGTTGCTTATTCCTTCCAGAGTCAGAGTTTGTACTGCATTTGGGGTTGTGTATTTTTGTTGTTGTTGTTTTTGTTTTTTTGTAGAAAATAAATATTTCTGGGGTCACTTGGGTGGCAGTATAGGTGTCTGGGCTCAGTTGATATTTTATGGGTTTCAAACATGAGTTTCTCTGGTCTCTCTGTCACCTGGATTTGGGGGGTGGGGAAGAAGAAACCAAGCCCCAATTGGCTGAGTTTGGAATGGCATTTTCATGTCAATAGCCTTGGTTTGTTTTCCAGCCTCACAGGCCCATCAGAGCTCCAGCTCCTATCTGCAGCTCCTGCCCAGAGTTACCTAGCAGACTAGGCTCAGCAGGCATGGTGTCATTGTTGAGGGGTCTGCTCAAGGATGTATAATTTAGCTACTCTGGAGTTTAGGAGTGTCCATGGCAGCCACACAAACAATACAATCTTCTGCCTGACCCAGTATTGTTGGTTTTGGGTTTTCTCATTTTTCTCTTTTGCTCTCATTTCATTGGAGGATCTCCAGTGGACTGAACAATTCCAGTCACCAGCAGTTTAACACAAACTGTGAATCTGGACCCCAACCATTCTTACCCCCCTAACATTTCCATCAACCTCTCCTTCTCCAGGGGTAGTTTGATGGAATCAGTTCTGAGAAGGCAACTCTAGACTCTGGCATTGAACACCCATTTTTTCAGTGGTTTGAGTTTTGGGCTTAAAAATCAATCTCTTATTTTCTGAATAGCAGGAGGTAGGGACCATTTTGATGTCAGACTTCTGGTAGCTGGACATGGAGGATCTTGATACAGGTGGCTGTTCATAACTTTTGAGCCAGAGTGAAATTATTGGAGGGAGGACTTCTGACTGCTGCTCTAAGTGGAGCCAAAGGAAGCTGCCCTCTCCCTAGGGATGGTGCTCATTAGAGCCCTGGGCATCACAGTCTCAAGGGGCCTCTGGCAGAGACGAGGGAGAACAGTGACTTCAGCTGAGTCCTGCCAGTGGCTAAGCAAACAATGGTTTAAAAAACTCAAGGTCCCCAGGTGGCAGCATTTTATGTTCTGATCTGTTTGTGTTATATAGTGTTTTTCCCTTTTTGGAACTTGTGTTGTTGATAAGATAAGATGATTACTTTTTAATTAAAATGAAAAAGGAAATGTGTCGTCTTTTTGGAGTGTGACTACCTGCAGGACCTCTTGGGGGCATTCCCTCTGAGGGTTGGAACGTGAGGGTCCCTGGAAGCACTGACTAGTTTCAGTCTGCTGTGAGGCCTGCTCCTTCTTGTCCTCAACCTGTGCTCAGGCCTCGAAACCTCTTTTAACCCTAGCTTCTCGTCAGCTCACCTAGTTAGCAGCTTTAATAACAGTTCGGAGCAGAAGCCTGCTGGCTAATTATAATGCTGTTAAACATCCTTGTTTGTGGTAGACTTTCTGTGTGTCAGCAGGCTTGTCCTCTTATTCTAGGAAAGGAAAATAGGACCATGAGGAGGCCATTTCTGGCAACTGGCCAGTGGAGTGGGTTACTCTCCTGTTTTGATTTCATCTCAGTTGCCACCCTCTGTTCTGCCCATTATGCAGGGAGTTGGGAGAACCATAGAGTTACAGAATCTGTAGGAGCCTTCAAGAGCATTTAGTAATAGCCGGCCCACCAGGAAACGGTGTGGGGTGTGAAGTGACTGGCACAAGGCCTCCAGTGGGTTAGGGGCCAAAATACAGACAGCACTGAACCTGACTGTTCCCTACTCACTAGCTCATGGGGTGATGTTCGTGCAGTGTTCTCTCTACTGGCCCCCCTTGAGGACAGGGCCTCAAAACTGTCAGTACACTGACGAGGCAACCAGACCTGGGGGCTCAGCCCATCCCTCCTCTCAGGGAAAAGTCAGTGTTTCTGATAGTCTGGGGTCCTCCTGGAGAGCCACGCTGAGTAATCCTCTTCCCAACTACTAATTCTTCCCCTCATATGTCCAACCAGCACACCTCAGGCTGTGAAGGGTATAATAAAATTATTTTTATTGCATTTTGTGCAGACAGGAGTCTAAAAAATACAGTAAAAGCTGTAAAGCATTAAATGGGAGCATTCAACAGTAAAGGAAAGACCAACCCTCTCCTTTTCATATTGGCACAAAAAAACACAAGGTCAGTACTGAGGCAGAATGCGGAATACTGAAACACTGAAAATTAATGGCAGGCCTAATAATAGTAATAAATACTCTTGATTTGGTTTGCAATCTCTCCTATTTACAAGGGTTTTCAACTTCATTGCATTGCCCTGCACGTAGATCGTCTGAAAACAAAAGCAACACTAGTTATCACTACAAGGCTATTGAAATATTGCACTCAGAATAAAAGTCACTTGGACATGAAACATCTAGCTACAATGATTATAAAGATAATTTGATGAATGACATGATAACATTCATAACAAATATTGCACATGTAGCACAGAAAACTTGGGTTTTTGTTGTGGGATGTTTGTTTTCATCCATGGAAACTGCTCTTTGCCAACCTGACATTCTGGGCCCAGATAATGCAACTTTGGTTCCCTAATTGGTGTTGATACAACCCCTCCCCCTTCTGCCCAGCCCACCACTTCAGCCTGACTGCTCAGGCCCTCACAAGGCTAGACCAAGTTGTGGTTCTCAGAGGTCTTGTGGAGGAAGGGGGCAGGGGAGCTGGTGTCTAATATCTCCAACTTTCTGATTACTACCTGGAAGAGTCTATCCAGCCCCCTCATCAAGTCTCAGATGGGCCTTGGCCTGTCAGACATCCAGACCGACCTCCAGCCACACCTGACCCAGTCAGCCTGGCACCAGCTCCAGTTCTTTGCCTACAGCTCAAAGGAAAGGAGGTGGTGAGGTCAGGAGTGCCCAGTAGCCCCAGCTCTGGGAGCTGGGCCGGATGTCTAGGTGTGAAGGTCAGGGCCCTGGTGCTGGAGGTACTGGACCCAGTCAGTCCCAGAGGGCACTGGAAGGAGCATGCAGTGCCTGTCCCCCTTAGAAATGTGCCCTGGGAGAAGGGAACCCGGCCAATGCGCCTTCTCTACGGAGCAGAAGTGCCAAGGACTGCAGTTGGAGGAGCCAAAGGCCTCGGGTCCTAGATGGAGGAGGGCAGACAGGCGCTAGGAACAAAGCACACCGGACGGCAGGCCCCGCGCGGCTAGAGGCCGCTGCCAAACAGCGAGGGCCCGCCCCGGGACGCCCGGAAAGGCGGCTAGGTCCCCGAGGCTGGAGCTGCCGAATGGGATGGGGGAGGGGGGCGGACTTCAGGGGCAGCGCTGGGACCTCCCGGTGGGTACGCACCTACACCGAAATCGCCCCCTCCTCCCTCACCAGTCCCAGAAAGGAAACTCCGGGCAGGGAACGCCCTCCAGCTCCCAGATTTGTCTTTGGCGAGGAGCCATGGGATAGGGGAGCAGCCGACTGTGGAGAGGCGCCTGCTCCCAGCGAAGGCACCGGGACGGGGCTTCCTGGGCGGGGCGCGGCCTCTCCTCCTGCCCTGAGAAGCACCCCCTCCCCCAATCCTGGCCCCAGCTTGCATAAAAGCCGAGAAGAGGCTGCACGCGCCTCGGCAGCCGCAGTGGAAGCTCACGTCCGCGGGGAGGCGAATCCAAGAAGAGCTGGACGCTCGTCTCTCCTCACCTCCGAAAGGAACCAGAGGGAAGGATCGGAAGCCAAGGGCGCGCGGACAGGGCGAGGCGCGAGCGGGGCGGGGTGTGGAGGGGCCGGGACCAGGACTCCCGCCTGGGCCTAAAGCACTTTTGCTCGCAAGCGCTCGGATTCCAGGAAAAGCCAGCCCCCCCGAGGCGCCGCCGCCGCCGGGCAGCCCGGCAGGGGAGCTCGACGGTGGCGAGAGGAGTCCGTTGCGCTTCTAGTCACGGAATATGGGGACGTTAAAAACACACGCGATGTCTCCTGTACACTATGTATAGGCTCGGCGGCCCACGCTGGAGGCTCCGCCGGGAGGGGCGGCGGCGAAGGCCGAGCGTGGCCACCCCGCCCCGCGCCCGCCGCAGCCGGGAGCTGTGCCGGCGGAGGGCAGAGCCGGACCGACCCGGGCGGGGCGTGGGGAAAGGAGGGGCCACGCGGACGACCCGGGTCCTCCAAGCCCCAGCTCCTCGCCGCGCCTCCTCCCGACCTTGATGGCAGCGTCTCCTCCTCCGGCGGGCCGGGCTCGGCTTAGGAAGAGGGCAGCCAGCCGCCGCCCGGGAGGCGGAGCGGAGCGGCGCGCCCGCCGGGCTCTGCGCTCCACGTGGAGGCGGCCCCTCCGAGTCAGCCCCGACGGACGTGGCCTCCGGACTGCAGGCGGCGGGGAGAGGGCCAGGGCGCGGGCACGGGGGCTGTATGTAAACGGTGACGGTGGCGGGGGGCGCGGCGGGGGCTCGGGGCCGCGGGCCGGGCGCGCTCGGCCCGGGGGCAGGTCCCGGCTCTCAGGAGTAGATAGTGATGACTTCGCGGCCGCCGCCGCGGACCAGCATCACCCGATCCAGGTGCTCGGTGAGGACCTCGAGGAACTCCATGTCTGAGCGCCGGTCAAGGAGAAAGACCCGACCCCTCGCCTCCTCCGGATGGAACTGGACACCGTGGGCCTCCGCCCTGACCGAGGTGCTGACCCTGAAGCAGGACCGGCTCCGTCTTCCGTCCCAGGGCCAGGACCCAGGTTCCCTGACGTCCACCTCCCTCTTCCCCCCAGTTTAAAGTCCAGGATACAATTTTCATCACCGTTGCGGTTGCGGGGAGGCCCAGGCATGTTGAGCAACACGAGCTTGGCGTCCCGGGATTTCTTCACAATGACCTCGTTCAGCCGCACGGCCGTGTGCATGCGCCGCACGTTGGACTGGTTCCTGCGGGAGGAAGGTGGGAGGAGGGCACCCTGAGCCTGAAGAGGGGAGAGCTGGATCCAGGCCACTGGGCTGCTGGGCCCCAGTTCTTGCAACCGGGAACCACCAACCCCAGACCCCTCCAACCTGGGCTCTTCGGAGAGCCCAGAGGTCAGGGGCATGCGTTGAGGGGTCATGACATAGTGAGGAGAGTAGGGACTCTGGCCAACGCAGCAAAGAGAAGAAAAAATTCTGAAGCACTTACAAGTTCTCCCACTCCCTTCAGGAAACACAAGAGAAGCAAAGAGGAAGAAAAGAGAGGGGTCAGACAAAGCAGGGGAGGCCAGGGACTTGAGCCACCATCACCCACCCTGACTGCGCCCTGGCCCTGCTCTCCCAGCCTTCACCTTCCCACTGCCCGCCCCTGGGAGTTCTGACCCTCAGCAATCAGGCCCGACCCCCGAGTCCTCAGATGGGGAAACCAAGACAAGGTGTGGGCTGGGTCTTCCAACTGCCAGCCCAGGACCCACGCTGCATGCTGCTCTGCCATGGGGAGCACAGACCCTGTGGGTTCCCCCCAGCCCTTAGCCCCCAGGCCCGTACGGCTTCATGCTGAAGAAGTCCTTGATGCCCTCGGACGAGACAGGACTGGGGCCCTTATTCTTCTCTGCCACGGACTTGTCCTTGGTCCAGGTGAGATGCACCTTATCGGGATCTGCCTCTCCCTCCCCCTCAGGCTCCTCCCCCGGGGATGGTGTGCTGCTGGGGCAGCTGGGAGCACTCTGGTCATGGATCAGCTGCACCTGAGGGATGAACAAAGGGATAGCACATGACTCCTTTGGAGGCCAGAGGTTCTGCTCCCACTGGATGGGGCCAAACCACCCCAGTGGCACACCTCCTCTTCGGGCTTCTCCTCACTGTCACCAGCTGTCTCTTCTGGGACGTTGAGGCGGAGCCGGGTGTTGGCTGGATTCTTTCTCCGGATTGAGCCACGGGATTCATCTGTGATGCTCTGGATCTAGGGAGCAACAAAGGTTGGTGCCAGCTCTGCTGTGAGTTACCACCACCCATGCCCTGCAAAGAGCTACCACCAGAGTTGATGTTCAGGCAGGGTGCACGCTTTCGGGGACTGTACCGGCGTTCAGGTACTGCTTCCATAGCAAATAGCTGCTGCCCACTGACCTGCCATTGCAACTCCTCTCCAGAGCCCCTGACCGCCCCACCACCCAGCAACTAAAGGGTTAACACCTGGGCCTGCAGGGCTCCACCATAGGACTGTGGTCAGTGCACATGTACTATTTTTTTTTTAATATATATTTCTTTATTGATTTCAGAGAGGAAGGGAGAAAAGAGAGATAGAAATATCAATGATGAGAGAGAATCATTGATCGGCTGCCTCCTGCACACCCCCTACTGGGGATGGAGCCCGCAACCCAGGCATGTGCCCTTGGTCAGAATCGAACCTGGAACCCTTCAGTCCACAGGCTGATGCTCTATCCACTGAGCCAAGCCCACTAGGGCCACATGTACTATTTTTACTATCACCCCTGGTTAACATTCTTGGGGGTTCATCCTTCCCAGCTCAAATGAGTACCCATCACTCATTCCCCTGAGGATCCTTCAACCACTATCTGAGAAATATATTATCCACACCTGGGAGACCCATCAACCATGGCCTGTCATCCTGGCCTATAGGATCTGCCACCCATTCCCCCGGCAACCTGTCACCTACCGCTGAGAGCTTTCCTGTCCCCAGCTCCTGGGTACCGTCTTTCATTTCCCCAAGTATCCTACTCCCTGGGGTGGGACTAGTGGCCCCACATTACCCCCACCAGGAGATCTTACACCCATACCCCATACAGGCTTATCATCATTAACCCTGTGAACCCATCCACCACACTCTAAATATCCATCTGTTACCTGCTCTCTGAGGGGCTATCACATGACCCCCTCACACTGGCAGCCTGTCCACCATCCATATTTAGGACCCACTATTCTCCCGTTGGCCCCAGAAGTCACAGACAGATAGCCAAGTCTGTCACCCATGCCACAGCCCCTCTACATCTTGGCTGAAAGGCTTGGTAGGTGCAGCTGCAGTGTGTAACTCCGATGCTGGGGAGCCCAGTGATGGGAGGAATAAGGGTGATGAGTAATGCTCTGAAGCATGCCAGCCCTGAGCCGTCCAGAGCTGTGCAGACCCAGAGTTGGCGCAGCCTGAGGCTCTGAGAGCCCATCCAGGGCAACCTCACCTCCCGCTCCCGCTCGTTCTTGGTTAAATGCATCTGTTTGAGGATCTGGGAACGCTGCTCCATCACCAAAGTCTTCTCGTAGGTGTAAGCGGAGATGTCGCTCTCGTGCTGTGGGCAGTCAAGGTGGGGGCGGGGTGGTGAGGGAAAAAAGCATGAGCTATAAGCTCAGGTACAAGCCAAGGGACAGGAGGCGGCCCCCTTCCTTCTGCCAGCTTGGAGCTTCCCCATCAAATGACCTAATTTAACCAACAGTTGTGGGAGGCAAGAACGATGCTCTTTGAAGACAATGCAGCTTATTCCCTCCTCAGTCCAGCACAGGACCAGGCATGTGAACTGGTGAATGAATGAATGAGTGGATTAATTAATTACCCAGGTGAATGGAAAAGGGGAAGAAATAAAAAAGGAACAAAGGGATGAATGGATATACACGTGAATGAATGGATGGGTGAGTGAGTAAATGAATACATTAATGAATATATGGGTAGATGAATGAATACACAGAAGGATGGGTAGATAGATAAGTAAACTGAGAATGGATGGATGCGAGGCTGTATAGTGTAATCCTAGAGCCAGCCTGCCTGGGTTCAAATCCTGGCTCTGCCACTAGTGAGCATTGTTGGGCAAATTACATAACCTTTCTTTGCCTTGACTCCCTAATCCATAAAATGGAAATGCTGATGATTGTATCTGTTTCATCGGTTGCTATGAGAACCAATATATGTAAAGTACATAAAACTGTGCCTTCCATATCATGAGCACTATTAAACATGGCATTTCTTTCTTTCTTTCTTTCTTTCTTTCTTTCTTTCTTTCTTTCTTTCTTTCTTCTTTTTTGTTAATCCTCACCTGAGGATATCTTTCCGTTGATTTTTTTTTTTTTTTTTTGAGAGAGAGAGTGGAAGGGACGGGGAGAGAAACATCAATGTTAGAGAGACACATCAATTGGTTGCCTCCCATACTCGCCTGACTGGGCCTGGGATCGAGCCTCCAAATGAAGGTACATGCCCTTGACCAGAATCCAACCCGTGACCCTTCAGTCTGTTTTATCTACAGAGCCAAACCAACTTGGGTGACATGGCTATTCTTTTTTTTAAAGTATATTTTTATTGGTTTCAGAGAGGGAAGGGAGGGAGAGAGAGATAGAAACACCAATGATGAGAATCATTGATTGGCTGCCTCCTGCAAGCTCCCCACTGGGGAACAAGCCTGCAACCTGGGTATGTGCCCTTGACCAGACTTGACACTGAGCCCTGCAGTCCGCAGACCAACGCTCTATCCACTGAGCCAAACCAGCTAGGGCTGACATAGATATTCTTATAAAGAAGCGAGGAATGGAGTGAGTGAGGGAGTGAGGGAGGGAGGGAGGGAGGGAGGGAAGGAGGGAGGAAGGAAAGGACTCTTGGATGAATATGTGAGAGGTCAAGAAGCAGATGGGGGGAAGGAATCCAGCATCATAAGATGATTGTTGTTGGGGTTGCCCTACTGGTGCTGGGCCAAGAGGAAAGAGGGCCCAGGGGGTGGGACTCCAAAACTTCAGGGGTGACTCCTGGGGACTCACCATTTCCACCACCTCGACCTCCGCAGTGATACGTAAATGGTACAGAAACGTGGTCAGGTCCTTCTTCATCTGGATGCTATTGTCATCCATCTGGGCCACAGTGAAGATACGCATCTTGCACTTCCGCCAGACCTGGAGGGGTGAAGGGGACCCAGAAAGGTCCAGCCCAGATGTAGTGAGGAGACCCAGGGCCAGAACCTAGAGAGGACCCTGTCCTCACCCTTCCCACCCACCTTACCACACAGACATGCAGACCCGAATCGTTAGCTCAGCGACCACTCCCTACAAAAAGGCCCCTGCTTAGGTGTGGGTCCCCAGTTCCTAACGTCTCGGAATGAAGGAGGTGATCATACCCCTTCCCAGGAGCTCACACGGAGGCTGGCCCTGGCCAGAGCCCATGAGCCTCGCCGACAAATGTACACACGTGCACACACCCATGCTCACCTTGTGGTGCCGCAGCAGGAAGGGCAGCAGCATAAGCATGCCACCGTCGTGCACAATCCACCAGACGTCGATGCTGCCCTCCGAGAAGCGCTCGGGGTTCCCGGGAAACATGGAAACGTTCTTGGTGACCAACAAGGCCAGGTGGCCAGCTGTGGTTTCCCGGACCAGCTCTGGGGGAGGCCAAGGAGAGGGCCAGATGGGAAACAGTGGCCCTGGTCCCATCCTGCACCAGCAGCAGCCACAGGGGCTCCCAGCACCCAGCACCCCACCCTGCCCCACCCGCTCCACCTTGGCCTTGGGCTGAGTAGTCAGAAAACCAGCAACTACCTGGGCCTCATCATGAATTTGCTGTTTGAATTTGGGAAAGCCTCTCGACCTCTCTGGGCCTCAGTTTCCCCAGCTGCCCTTTCTGATTATTAAGCCCTCTACCATGCATGGCCTCATTTAATCCTCCCAACCACCTGTAACTATGATCTACCTATGAAGGAGACAGAATAGCCTGGAGTTAAGAGTGCAGTCTCTTGGTTTACCAGCTGTGTGACCTGGAGCAAACTCCTTAATCCCTCTGTGCCTCAGTTTCACACCCCACAAATGGAGATAGCAGTGCCCTGCTCTCACGGGACTGCTGGGAGAACTAGAGACTTAGAGAAAGCCTCAGCTTGTCTGGCACACAGAACACAGTCTGTAAATGTTAGTTACTATATTCCTGTGACCGAGGACTCTGATGCTCAGAGAGGGTGAGTTACTTGTGAACAATCACACAGCCAGGAAGGACCAGAAGTGAGAGTTAGGCCCGGGCTTCTGTGGCTTCAAAGCTGTAGCTCTTACCCCTGCCCCGCACTGACTTCCTCCCGGCGCTGTGAGCCCGCAGGAGTCAAGACTGTCTGCTTCACACCTGAGTCCCCAGCACCCAGCACAGTACCCAGCACATCGCCAGCTTTGAACACTGTCCCCTGATATGCAGAACCCACATCTGTCACACCCGGAAAACTACCCCAAAGGAGGAGAGAGAACCCACAGCCTCCCACCCAACCCACCACTGCCCGCCCTCCCTGCCTTACCAATGAAGTTCCTCCACGTCTGATGGTCCTCCTTCTGCCGCCAGTTGCGGGGCCAGCCCACCAGCACGGTGTTGTGCTGCAGCCCCCCGAGACCCCCGGACTGAATCAGATGGGACACGCCATCACGCAGGTTGGAGGAAATCACGACCTGGCAGAAGCCTTTCACTTTCTCCGCCTCCATCAGACGCCGGATGGACTGGGGGTGGGGAGGGGACATCAGATAAGGACCAGCCTCAGGCCTCCCTGGCTCGTCCAGCTCCTGGCAGCCTCCCTTCCGCCATGGTCCCCACTTTCTGCAGCTCAGCTCTGAGAACATCAGCTCTGGCACCAGTGTTGTGCATGGCTCCCCATCACCTATGGCCCCCTTTCCCTGTTGATCAGTCAAAGCTCTTCATGATGGAACCCCACACCTCCCACCACCCAGCCATTGCTCATACCTCTCAAAGCAGCTCTCAACACTGCTTTGAGCCCTGCAGGAGTCAAGACTGCTAGCTCTCCACCACCACTCAGACCCCTCCCCACTGCCCAGCCCAAGTCAAATGTCACTTTCTTCAGGTATCCTCCCACCCCCCACCCCGCCCCCGCCCAGACCAGAGTGAAACTGGGCTCCTCTGCACGGCCAATTTGTTTAACAATTTTTTAAAGTTAGCATAATGATATGCATTTTAAATGCACATTCAATCCGCACTGTGAGGAAAGTTTTATTACACTCATTTTACAGATGAGGAAATTGAGGCTTAGAGAAATTAAGACTTGCTTTAGGCCATACAGCTAACAGAGACTATCATAGGGGTTCAACTGCAGGGGTCTGACCCCATCCACTGCCCTAATGTCAAACAGAAAGGCTTCAGTTCCTACCTCTGCCAGCTCCTGCTGTGTGACCTGGGCAAACTGCCTAACCTCCATGAGCCTCAGTTTTCTCATCTGTCAAATGGGGACTGTGAGAGCTACCTCATTTAGGAATAAGGAGACTGACATGACATGATGGGGGTATACTGCCTGACAGGTGTAA